AAACTATTTTTTTTTGCCGTTTTCAACAATTTTATTAATTATAATATTATTAATTAATCATTTTTATTAAAAAGTATGAATAAAATTTAATTATAAATATTATTCAATGCCTCAATTAAATTATGGAATTTCATACAATAACAACGATGCAAATTGATAATTGTTATACCATTTTAAAATTATTGAATATTTCATTTAACAAATAATAAAAACGTGTTAACTAAATTTATTTTTTCGAAAGAAAAAAAAAGTTGATATTGTATGGTTGTTGAATTATTTAATATTTTTTTTAAATTATTGAAATAATAGTTATTAATTTTAACCCTTCAACACTTTTTATTAATAAAATATAATTAAACTTTAATAAATTAATTTATGTATTAAATCAAAAGTAACAGATTCCAATGTTTTGCCAGAAACCGAGCAATTGAATAACAACAATATCCCGACTTTTAATAATTATGCATTTTATTGGTGAATTTTGGAAATACTCTTGAAAGTTATGTTCATTGATAATGAAAATAAAAAGTCGGGTAAATAAAAGTAGTCCAAAAACTGGTAGTGTAATGGGATGAACTCAAGAACAGGGCGTACAATATCTACGGTTACTGAGGAAGTTATTAAACAAAGGAAACTTGACTCCCGAAACGAAGAAGGTTTGGTCTTAAATGCAATGATATATCTTCTTGCTCAAGAAGGGTTTTCAGTGAATGTACTTAAAACGAAAAAAACAACAAATACAAATAAAATGTTAATTCCAGAACAGATCATTGACAAAGATGGTAAAGTGTTTTCACAAGATGGTATTCGATACTTAAGTAATTTATTATTAACTGACCTTGGATACACTCCAATTACTTTAAAAGCGACTTCTCCAAAACAACTGAAACGAAACAAAGAGTCTCAAGTTAGTAATGGAATATTATATATTCTTGAAAATTGTGGATTTTCATTTGAAGAAAAAAAGACCAAAAAGGCAAATGTAACAGAACGACTTGTAAGAATCAACCAGATAGCAAAAAATGAGTTAATTTACAACAAAGAAGACTTATTTGAGTTTGGTCGATGTATCGAGAAAATCATGTCTGAAGTCTCTGAAGTTACCAAAAGTGTTATATTTACACGGGAATTGATTAGTTCTTATTCTCCGGTGTTTCAAAAGAATCAAAAAAATTGGTTTGTGACTGGATCCCTCCAAGACTCTGAGAGAGACGAAGTCGATGGTTTTTATCAAGCAAATTACTATTAAAAAACTGTTAATAAATTTAATGGTTTATAATACTATATAAATTGTAAAGGTTTTTGAAAAATAAAAATCGAATTGAAACTGAAAATATGACAATGTCGACAGACAGAGTAAAACAAATTACGTCACTTTTTCAACAACAAAAACCAATACAAGCTGCTGAGACAGTATTCCGTGGTATTCTTACTAATGAGTCTGACCCTGCTTACAAAGATATAACAACAACTTTAGCCGCGTTGTATTCCACGATTCAGGCAATTGATATAAGTCAATATGACCAACAAGAACTTACTCACTATATATATCGCCTTATTTCAGTGAATTGCCGTTTGTTCTTTATGTTCACTATTATTAATTTAAAGTGCATATAAAAATGTATATAATAAATTTGTGTTTATATTAGAAGCATAGAAAATACACCTGTTTATTAACATAATAGAAACAATCAAAGCAGCGATTATGTATAAAGAACCATCTTTAAATAAATACGAGGAACCATTATTAATTGGGATCTTAGATAACGTGAGTAAAATGGTTGGTCCTCGTCACTATGGTCTTTTTCTTCAGAAAATGAAAGAGAAGGACAACTTATTTATTTCATGTCAGAAGAAGTATGCCCAACTGAATCTCCGCGATTTACTCCAAATCCGACATGAACATTTCCCATTCACAAATATGTACGACCAAGCAATGCAAGTCCTTAACATGATCGAAAAGTGCACAACAGCTACTTCTATGTTAAATCGTCTTGTTGATGTGCAGAACGAAATTAACAAATCACTTGCTACTGTCCATGGCGAAGTCCCTGTCTCTTTCGACGCCGACGCTCACCTCTCCATCCTTCAATTCATTTTGATCCGTTCGAAGATTCAACACCCTTTCTCTATATCAGCTTTTGTCGAATCGCACTTCGGCGCTAAAGACTTCTCAACGCAATACGGGTTCTCCTTAACAACATTCACAATCGCGGCGTCTAGTGTCTTGGAAATTACTGGAAATGCCAACCCAAGGTCAACTGTACTCAACGACACACCTTTACTCACCTCAAACTTCAGCTCTCGTTTGTTCTATGGTATTTCTTAAATTATAAAATACTATATTTCTTTTTTAAAGAAGTTGAGAAACAATATACTATTTCTTAGTTAAAGAAATAGTATATTGTTTTCATACTTATTAGTATAGGTATTTATCTATAATTTATAATTATATTATATACTATATAGTATAATTAATTTTACTATAATTGTCATATAGATGATATTGTATATAACAATATATAAATAACTACTGACAAATAGTTACAGCCTCACCAACATTATCCCTGCCACTCCATTATCTTGTATCTAACGGATTTTTTGATGGACAGATTATCTCCAAGTACTTATAATTCAATATTACCATGTTTGTTAATAGTATATTATAATAATACTATTAAATACTAATAAAATGGAGAATTAGATACATATTAATATATAAATAGAATAACATTTGTTATTCAAATAGTAATAGTATACTAAAATAACTAATATCATACATAGACTAGAATATGAATTACAAAAAAGAGGAAAGTATCAACTACTGGCAGTCTTTAGTTGATGTTCTCCCCAATAATTTCCACGACCTGTTTAATGTTGTCGATTCTCTTCATTTGGATCTTCTCGAAGAGGGTTCTGGTGTTTTCCGTTTGTGGTTGGAATCCTTCCAATTGGAATTGATGAGGAGGTGTGCATTTAAACATGATTCTGAAGTCGAAGAGGTCCGAGTTGAGTTCGTTGAGTGTTTTAAATTTCTTCACCTTCATATTAATCATCATTTGAATGGCATTGCTTCATTACTTAAAGTTAAAGAACAAACAGAAAAGAGGACATGAGGCGTTGACTCATCAATAGAGAAGTCGAAGATGTTCTTTGGAGTGTTCTGTGAGAGTAAACAGAAGTTGAAGAGGGGTTCAAACGCCCTAATCAACTTGACTTTGCTTTGCATGAATATCACAAGTTGTCTTGCCATCACGAATTGGCCACTTTTGAATGGGTTTGAGAACCTATTATTGAAGTACTTTGTAAGTAAATCGGGGTGAGGTTGTTGTGTTAAACTCGTGGAGACGGTTTCCATGAAGTTTTTTGGTATTTCGAAGACCAAGTCGTGTCTCAAGTGTATCATCATGTTCTTCATCTCTCTGTCCGAACACACAAACTCGACAAACAAAAACGTGTGAAGAAAGTTGACGAGATTCTTCAAGTGCGCAAGTAACTCCGTCATATTAAAAACTGACGGGAAGATCTTTTTGTTCTCAAACGTCTTTGTGAACAATTCAGACGGACACAAATTGAAGAACCCCGCACTCTTATAGAGAAATGTCGCACTCTTATTTCCCGTAGATATATTATAAGAGAAGATGGCAGTCACATTACTCTCGGTGACCACAGCACTCGTTTGTGAGAGACAAATTGTCAAGAAATTGAGATGAGAAATGGTGATTGACAGACACGACCGATTTGCGTTGTAAAAAAGCTGCAAAATCTGGTTAATACAATTTGCAACGGTCTTCAAAGATGTGAAGAACAACGCCTTTTTACTCAATGGAACTAGTGCAGTTGGTGTGTTCTCGGGGAAGAATACAAAAGAGAACATATTCGACAATCCCGCATACGGTTGTGTTAAACTAAATGTTAGAACCATCGTATCTATCAATGAAGAAGTCACTTTAATGACAAAACTGTTCGACACAGTCACGCTGTTCTCCGTAAACGAAGTGACATTTTCATTCAAATGATCAACTAACATTAACACGTGAATAAACACAACTACTTTGTCTAATAACACTCGTGGCGGATTCTCAAATTCATTGGGCGATATTGTAAATCGGAATTTCTGTTTGACATACTCAACACTATTCCCTTTCACTAACAAAACGTTTAAATTGTCTTTGAATGGCTTGAACGACACATTAATCGTATAATTTTGGACCTCAGTTATCTGCTCAAGATATATCAAGTAGGGGAGGTACCGACACTCCAAACAGATCTCCGGCCCGCCAATATTCAATTGTGTGAAATTCTCGGCTTTGAATTGTTCCTCAAATCGAGTTTTGAAGTTGTCCGTATTAACACATTTTCTATTGATAAATTTACAACTATAATATATAGTATATATATAGTATATTTTATTAGAAGAACAAACTTACACTCCAAATCCGAACAGTCACAGAATTTATCGATTTTCGAAATGCACGTCGATGTCGACGTTGGCACGAAAACGTCTTTAGAACAATAACTATAATTCAGTGCGCCATCTTTGAGTACGATCCATATAATAGTGTCCTCATCCTTTTTAGACACTTCGTCGTACTTCTTTGTGATCGCCAATGTCACAAATCTCGAGTCGGACATCTTCACGAGAAACGGGAAGCCACAGATCTCGAAATTTGCTGCATTTGCTATGTTATGTTTTGGCACCAAATATTCGCCTCTGATCTTCTCGAATTTTCCGATGTGTGTTTTAATGATGTTATATGTGTCATCGTCGCATCTTAATATTGGGTACCCTTTGAAATATGTTTTGGCGATGGTATAGATCTGCGCGTATTTAATTTGTGTATGTAAATCGACAAGAAGTGCTGTGAAGTCTGCCGTTGGTTTCCGACTGACAAGTATATTATAATGTTCCACCAGTGGTTTTGGTAAATATGGTGTGTTAATATTGATCTTCCCCGTATACATCGATATATGAAAAGTTGTTCGTGCTTTGTTCTTCCCTTCGAACGGTACCAACTGCTTTGATAATTTGAGGCATAACATCCCGACAGTCGCTTTCGCCAATTTTGTGATTTGTTGTGGAAGTGGCAACGAGACGTCCTACCAAGTCAACACCAAACACTTGCAAAGTGTATCAAATGAAGAAATAAAACAAACGAAATAGTCTGTGCTCAAGAGTGGCGAGTGTGTGATCTGCAGTTTGTTATTCTTGACATCGAAGTTGTATTTGACATAAATCTCATTATTCCAGTAATGGATGGTCAACGTCTTCTCGTTCATTCCATTCGAGATCTTCGCTACTAAATTGGGGAAGAATTCTTTTGTCCTTGTACTGTCTGCTTCCAGACACAAATGTTGGAAATGCATGTTCTTTGCGGTATATAAAAAGTAATTGATTAACCCCGGAAATGGTGTTTTCAAGCATTCCGTCTTCTGTTTGAGCACTTCGTTCAAGTGAGCGATTGTTTTTTCGTCTGTTTTAATAACATGTGGGATATAGAAATTGACGGAGACGATTCTCCAGAAGACGTCAGTTTTTGTGTAAATAGCGTCTTGGTTGTCGACCGTGATCCAACACTCGAAGTTTTGGTCGACTTTGATATACATCATCCCACACACTATATCAAATTTGGAGCATTTAATGAGACTGTTGTGTGTATAGTAGACCCCCCACAAGAACCTTTCCACCGTCTTTTTAATGTTATAATAATTTGGGACTTGTTTTGGGATGGTTGGTAATTCAAAATTGGCAGTGAGAAGGACTTGCAGTGCTGAAGGGATTTCTGGGAATGCAACTCGTAAGGCTACACTCTTTCTATTCATCAAAACAAAGACTTTGACTAACGAATGAAGTGCTATGATCGATTGAAGACAAGCAGTATTGAAATGGTCGATGTCTTGAATCACTTTGTTCCGACCTATCCAACGCGTTAAGACTAACACTTTCCCTAACGTGTGAATAGCTCGCTCTGATGAATCGAGGATCTCGACTTTGTCGCATTTCTGAAAAGAATCACTGATGTCGTGAACTACCCGACTCACACTGAACCGAACGACGTCTATTAGTGTCGCCGTACACGTTGCACTTTCCATCTATCTTTTAAGTTTTTGATGGCGTTTTTTATTCATTCTTACTGGCTTTTAACTAGTCGGATAGTTTCTTTTTACTAGTCATCTTTAAGTTCTTTTCTCTCTTTTTTACATTACTTGAATGGTTTGTAAAGTACTATATGTTACTATTTATTACTATAGAATACTATATGTTACTCAATTGTTCTATTTATAATCTATTACTTATATATTAGTATGTTTGATTTCTAGTAGAATAATATAGTTCTTGAGCAGTTTATTGTGTTTAGTTTATTTTAGTTTATATACTAATTAAAAATATGTTTATAATAACATTTTAATAACAATTTTTTGTTTTATATAACAATTTATAATAATTTGTTTTTGATAATAAAGAAAAAGGTATAAAAAAAGCATATTTGTTTACAATAGTTGAACGCTGATAACAAGTGTATTTCATTATCAAGTTTTTTTTCAGCATTTAGTTTTTTATTTAAACAATCCTGACTTTTCAAAACTAAGCATGTTTATTGTAACAAATGATAATAATTGAATAAACATTTCCTTGAATAATTTGTTTTAATGTTATGGAGCGTTATTCTTTTACGGTTGAAAAAACATTGTTTCATTTTTTTTACTGTTTTAATGATTAATTATTTGATTCCGATTTTTTGAAGAATTTGTTGTGTATTTTTTTGCAAAAGGGACAAAGTTTGAAGAAAGACAACGTTAAAACAGTTCATTTCATATTTCGTTTCATCATTTTATTTGTACTTAATATAAAGCCTTACTTTAACTTGGATACAATACAGATAAGATCTTATACTTGTTAATTTTTGCAAAATGAAACCACTGTGTGTTCCAAAAAAATATAATGCACCTTTCTTCAATTTAGAAAAGCGAATAAATTTATTTTGAGATTTTTATAACGAAAATCGAGTTAATAGTTCAAAACAATATTCAGTTCTAGAGATCGTTTTTCTTCCCCAAAAGTAATCGAGCTTCAAAAAGGTATAGGTGGTAGTTTCAAATATTAAATTCATAACGTAATTTATTATTTATTATTAAACTATATTTCTATAGAAATATGTATCTAGTCATATGATGAGATAGTAAGTTAGTTCAAAATATTTAAGTGTTAAAAATGATCATTAAGAAGTAACGCTTTGATTTCTAAAATATAAATGATAAAATTACAACACTTCTACGAAAAATCCAACCGAAAACCAACTTATTTTTCAATGATTCAGTTCAGCACCCCTTTCAGTAAAATAGATAAACAATAATTATTTTTAAATGATTTTCATTTTCATTACGTTTATATTTGTAAATTTTTCAAATGAGTAATTATTTTGAAGTAAGGAGACACCACAACTTAAAAAATGGACAAGACATCCTTCTGGATTGTTGTCTGGAGAGTTAAAAAATTGAACTATTGTTGAACAGAAATTTTGAGTGTATTTAGAAAGTGTCAAATCGGAATACAAATAGAGCATTCATCAAAGTGGAATTTGACATTTATTCAAGATGTTTTTTATTTATTCTTTTTGGTTTTCTCAAAACAAAGAAAAGTGTTTAGTTTTCAACTCTTGCTGATTGTAAGTATTTATCTAGGAAATTATCAATTTAGTTTTTATTGGTATGTTCCCAACTAAAAAGCCGAGACCCCCATTTACAATCTTTTAGTTTGGCGAATTTGGTTATCAAATAGAAAAAACATTTATTTTTCTTTTTACCCAAATTATTGACAAAAATAGGTCTTCTATGTTCTTAGTTCTCCCATAGATCCCGTTTTTTTTCCCTTATTTTTTTTACAATATTTACACTACAATCCTACGATAATAAATCCAACTTTCTTCAGTTTTTGGGTGGACATATGGAATTAGGTTCTATTTATACTCCGGCGCATCCAAAACGTATTGAGTGGTAATAGAATAGTTCCAAGAACAAATACCAATTATTGTTATGGTCAATCCTTTTGTAAAAAAATGGGAAGTCATTCCACAAGTTAACATTTTACTTTTTTGCCGTGCAAAGTCTGGTGCAGACTCACTTCAAAAAACTAAAAGATAAGAAAACACGTCGCCATAAATAGCTCAAATTTCTCATTTTTCAATTTTATATTTAAACATTCAAAGTTCTTTTTTTGGTGAAAACCAAATTTCCAGTTCATCGCAATATCCCTCCTTTTCACTTCAAAAATGCTTTCAAAGTCGTTCTGTTTCATATTTATTCCACTGTACCTTTAATGCAGATGATGACGTGTATAATTTAAATGGGTTTTTCAAAAGAAGGTAAGAAAATCACCCAGAACACGCAACGAATAAAAACACCAAAGACTGGACCAGAAAAAGGGGAGGTTGACTCAATCAATTAAACGAATAGTTATAATAAAGTAAATAGAATAATATAACGGAAGACCATGAAACATGAGAAGTCAAAAAAGAAATAAAGATGGATTGTATATAAGTGGACTTTAAACTTAGTAACCATTACACATGGAATACACAGAACAACACGATACAAAGCAAAAGGTCCCATGCAAGTATGCCTCGCGAAGACTAAGAGATTATCAGACAAGTCAACAAGGCACTTTCATTGGATTATTGAATAATTACTGCGATATCACATTCATTAAGCCACCTAAAAAGGCTGTCTTAACACATCAATTTGTTAAAATCAAAAAGATTTCATTTTCATCAAAAGATGTGATTGTTCTCGAGGACTTTTTACAGAAGAGATGTGGCGAACACAAAGATGGGGATTTGGACAGAGGGTGTTCCGAGAAGACTGCAAATCGGAGGTTCCAGACAAACAAGAAGATCGAAACACTCCACTTGTTATATGACATCCTTGGCGAGTTTGGATTCTTCTGCGAAGTCAATGCAACAAAAGGGAAGAAGGAGACAATGAAATTGCAAAACGTGGAGAATGTCTTTTATCAAGAAAAGTACTTAATGGGGATCGAAGAGATCTATACCGTCGGGTTTAAAGTGAATGACTACTTATGTAATCTAATCGAAAACAAAGACGAGATCACACTCAACCGAAACAATCGAGTCGTCCAGTCTTTCTTTGCTGAGAATATGATGTAACTTATATATGTGTTGGTAGCCTCATTTTTCATAGAACTATATATATTAGAAAGATATTATTAAGCATATTAGAGTCTTGTGGGGAAACCAAACCAATTTATTTAATTTAATTCTACTTTGTTTTGGTATAGTTTTATTTATTAATATATATAACTTATAGTACTCTTATTGTATTTATTATTAGTATAATATAAAATACTATAAATATTAAGTCTTTGATGTTCTTAGACCTTGAATAGTAAAAAAACTAAAAAATATGTTTGTTACTTCACTCTTGAATCGAAGAGTCGGACTGCCCGAGTATATCAAAGAAATCGAAGAAAATCGCGCGTTCTTGATTCAACGAGTCGATAGACCAGAAACATCGCCACACGACAGCAGGATTCAAAGTATCGAACAATTGACATCTTGCGATTGTGTGTCATCAAAAGAACATATTGAGTTGGTGACTGCTGGCGTATCAAATCGACTTGATATCCGTCAGAATGGCGTGTATAGTCACCCAACGCTTCCTATTTCAATTTGTTTGAGAGATAATGGATGTCTTATTTTAGACTCATTTACAATGACTGATGAAGTGCGAACGCCTTCGCCGAGTGGAGTTGCCTTCCTAGTTCAAAACATCTTTGGAATTTCGTCTAAAAATGGACTCAACTTGTTTGACATTAAAAATCGGAAATTGGTTGGAGGGATCGACGTGATATGTAATTCAGTAGCTTCCAATGGTTTTGATGTGTATTGTGGGGGTGAGACTATTCAGTGTTTCGACACGCGAACATTCAAAGAGAAGTGGCGGTATAACTCGCCTGGAATTGTATGTAAGAAGGTTGGAGACATAGTCGCATACTCTAAAACCAATTTCTATGCACTCAACGACTTCGGGGAGATCCTTTGGAGTTTGAAGAAACAAGTCAAGTGTGTTGAGATCAGTCCCAATGGACGATTTTGTTATATGGCAGATTATTCTGGTAATATAGAAGTATACACTGTAGGGGGTGGTGCACATTTAAATACCCTCAGCGGGGTCCACGGCTGTGGTGTGTCCGCGATGAGTTGGTCAGATAGAAGCATGGACCTTATCACCGGTGATGAGAACGGGATGGTTTTAAGATGGACAACCAACAACTTACAAACACAAAAGAACAGCAATAATCAGGGACTAGAGGATGAATGGAATTGATGTAATTTGAATGGTTTAATATTATAACATTTTACTATAAAAGAAATGATATTTAATTTTTATTCATACTCTGTTATTCAATTTAAAAACTTTTTAAAAAAGTTTGTAAAAATCACAATTACTTAAAAATGTTGTGATTGATTGATAAACTGTTTAAATATAAATTCATTGAACTACTAAAGTTTTGTTGTATAACAAAAAAAATGAAATAAAAGTCAGAATGGTGATAAAGTGTTGAATAAAAAATATTATTATATCAGAATAGTAAAAAATTAATGTATTAATTAATCAAAAAAGATTACTTCAAATAAAAAAGTGATTTTTAAATGAATTTACTGACAAAACCAAATTTTTGTTTTATCACAAAATTATATCAAAAAAATCTCTAAATTTATCAACAATAAGACATAAAATACTAACTTGCAAAAATAAATAATTTGGTTATAATTTATTTAATTTAAATAGTAAATGTAACATTAAAACTTTGTGATGTGAATTAGAGAATGATTAAAAAGAAAGTGATGAAAAAAGGTAATAGACTATTTAAACGAACTGAAAGTATTTATTAAAATCACTTCGGTCAACGTGTAAAGTGTGTTTGGGTATGGCGCTTGTATTTTGCAACTTTCGATTATTGACACAACTTTCGTGTGTTTCATTTGTTATTTGACATTTTCGATTTTTACGTAAGAACGAACTATGGGGGGTAACAGTAAATTACATATTTTCGTGTTTCAAACGTGAAAAGCAAATTTTGTCATAATTAAAAATGGTTAATCAACTTTTAATATTCTGTTATTTAAAAAAGTGTAAGAACAAATCGGTTTAAATGTGAGTTGCAGTAGTTGTACTCTTCGTCTTTATTTAATTAATGTGTTTGTCGGAAGTTAGTTTTATCATTATTTAAATAAAATAATAATAATAAAATCATTTAATAAAAATACTACTTATTATTAATTAACTAATGAATAGTTAGTTAAGTTTTACTTTGATTATTTATTTACTTTTTAATTCATTTATCCATACAATTCAAATTATTAATACAACAAAAGTATATTGAAAAAATAAAAATAGTAAAGCACTAATGGTCTAAGGGCAGAATTTCACCCTCCCAAGGTGGAGATCCGGGTTCGAGTCCCGGTTAGTGCATTTTTTGTTTTTTTAAAAACTATATTTTTATTAAAATTGTTTGATAATAAATTTGTATGTTTTGAGATACTAATACACCGTACATAACTACCCCAAAAATATGTATTTTGTTATTAATGTTATGGCTGTCAATGCAATCGTCAGTACTAAATTAGTTTTATGTTGTAACTGATATAACAAGTTGCAAAAAACACTCCAATTTTAATGTGGATAAAATAGGTTTTTGAATTCAATAATTATTAGTTTAAGTACCAAAATTAATAATAAAAATTTACTTTATTGCTGAACTGACAAAATCAATTCAAAACAATTGATGAATAACGATTTGATCGACTTTAACGAGTGGAATGAAGTTGATATGCAGAACAATATTAAGAAGTATCTGAGCCATTTGGAGGATGATTTCCTTGGTAAAAAGGCAATTCATAACTCGCTACTCTTCCCGAAAAAGCCGAAGGACGAGGCGTATCAATTTTTAAAGAACCTCCCATTGTACTCTGGCGAACCACAAAGCCAACCAGAGCAACAATCCGAGGTGGATAACGTTTACAAGTCGACGGTCGACAACATCAAAGCGGAGATCAAAAAAATGCGCAAACAAATTGAAACACTCTTCGATTTAAACATCATCACAGAAAATGAATTCGTCGAGTTTTGCGCATACATCAACAGAGTCGACGAACTCACCAATTCAGACGACTCGTGTGACTAACAAACATCTGTTTTTTTCCTAACAAATGTAACTATTTATTTCTTCGTCTTTGTTACAACAAAAAATCGTCTGCGCCCAGAACAATTTGCCCTTCACTGTTTTCGCGACTTTTCTCTTCGTTTTGGACACGTGATGAAGCACTCTCACTCTCTTCTTGTGTTTCTGTTTCAATGCCATTGTTTTCAGTAATGAGTTCTTCATTTTGAGCATCAGTCTCTATTTCTTTTTGAAGGCTTTCGCCGACTGTAATTTCTTCGTTTCCAAAACTCTTCTTGATCTGCCCGATATTAATCCCTAAAAGTGACACGACGTCTTGAGTCACTACTTGGGGATACTTTTCCTTTGTTTCCTTTTCTTTATACTTCTCAAAAATGCTTTTTTGGATCAAACACTTTGTGTCTTTCTTCTTTTTGGCGACACGTCTCTCGCCTCCCATCCAATGGCGTTTCATTTTTACAGTATAACTCCCCTGTTTATTCGCTCTTTAAATGTTTGTTTGTTCCTCCAAATCTAATCTAACTTGTCATATTGTTGGACTATTTTATGTTTTTAAAAACCAAATAACACAAACTATATAATATAGTTTAAATGCATAATTTAACAAACTATTTAATTTCTTTCTCATAATCAAGTGTAGTAAAAATATCATAAAAAATTAATAAATTAATAAATTAATCATACAATTTATTTTTGAAAGGAGAAAAAAAATAATAACATTATCTGACTTTATTACTCACATAATATGGTCGGAATAAACCAAATACCAATCAACAAAACAATCAGTTTCTATGGCCGATGACCATTCCATTTTGCATATTTTCGATTTTAATCAGAGTGTCTGCAGGTTTTTTTTCAAAGAAAGTGATGTACCCGTGGCACTCTCCCACAAAAGAAATCCCGACATTTGCCAATCTCCCGAAATCCCCGAAAATAGCCGCCAAGTTGGGCGTATTTTGCAAGAAAATTGGGATTTTAGAAATGAAGAGTTGATTTTCCTTTGGGAATATATTCGTACTTTTAGAGATAACTCTATTAAGAGAGTAAAAGAAATCATCCTTTTCGACTCGAGCAAAGGTCCACTCAATTTCCACGTGATTATTTGGTTGGAACGAGGCCTCTGTTGAGAAGATATAAGTGTTTTTAAATCCGCATATTGCGACTCTTTCAAAGGTCAAGAGAGGAGTCGCGAGTTTACTCTCGACGGTTCCTTTGTTCCAAGTTTCTGGAATGGTGCAGACAAACCACTTCTTGTCCAACGGCTTGAATACTTTAGTTCGACACTTCTGAATGGTTAAGTCTTCGCTAGTTAAGTAAAACCGTTTTGCTTTATAGTTATCTTTATCATTAATAGCTTCATATAGTTTCTCTGCAGATTCTATAGTTGTATATCCGACTATAAGTGTCATCCGATCTTCAGTGCGTCGAGTTATATCTATATTAAATATAGTTCCAAAACTATTTAAATACTCTTTGAGTTCTTTTGAAAAAGATGGCGTGGGAATGGTCAACGAAATTTCATACCCATAGTCACAGACAGAAACAGTAAAGCCAACCCCTCCTATTTCCTTTTGAAAGAGTGAAGAAAATTTTTGAATGATCTGTGCTGTGGCTACGTCAACAACAGTATGCACAACTGAAGCATATCGGTCGATCTCAAAGACAGACGCGTGGTTCAATTTCTTGATGATATCGTCCAACTTGATTTCATCGCGGACGTTTTTAAAAAAGACTTTTTTAATTGTTGGAATTTCATTTGGAGAAAAGTAGGGTAAAATAATAAAATTCGAAAAGAGCGACTGGTTTGCTACTATGATTGGAATGTCCGAATAATCAAATTTTGCTTGAAAGGATGTCACCGTTTCTATTACATCGTCTTTGGGAACAATATTGATTTTAGAGAATAAAGATGAGAGATAATCCATGTCATACACTCGTGCATACTTCTGTTTGAAATATAAGGTGACACACGATGGTAATGACATGGTTTGTATGCTTTAGTTGTTCCTTTGAGCAACTTACTATTTGTAATTAATAATGTATTATTATATAATAGTTTTATTGTCAGGGTCTTTTGAAATGGTACCGAAGTGATGAGGCAAAAACTGAAAAACAAATGGATGAAATATTTAAACAACTCCATCAACAACTTGAGGAGGTGGAGAGAAGGGTATTCTTATTTTTGAATACACAAGAAAAGTACGAGACACTGAAGAAAACAAACAACAAAGTCGAACAATGTATTTTGGCAAAAAGTGTGTTCGCCTATTTGAATGAAACTAAATCAGAACGCCAACTGAAAAACACGTTCCTCACCTTTTCTAATAACGTGGAAAAGGTCTGCCAAACATTGTGCGATATTTTGGACAAAACCGACTTCTGGGGAGACGGAGTGTTTTTCGACGTAATCAACAAGCTTTCTGAGTTCGAAAATGAAAAGGCAAAAGGGGAGAAAATGGAATTAATGGGGAGAATAACACAACTGGAGTCAAATCATATTGCAAAGATGAGGGAATTTGATGAGTTAAAAAGATCCCGCGACCAGATGACAAGGCGTGACGGGGTTGAGTGCAAAATGGTGAAAGAAACTAACCATATGATGATAATTGAAGAACCTCTAAAGGTTGATGGTAATGCAATCAATGAAAAAAATACAACAGATGTCGCAATGGAAGAAGATGTGAGAGACGTCAGTCTTCTGGACTCTGATGATGAAATGAAGAAAACACCCATCGGTAATTTAAGTGGAGACGAAATAAGACAACTCGAACTTTGGTCAAACAAAAGAATAAACACCGTTTTATTCGACTCTTACAAAGACGATTATAGTCAAGGAAGTCCAACATTTCGGATGAGTGTTGTTGGTCATAAAGACATTTTAGTTGTGATTGAGGACACTGACGGAAATAAATTTGGCGGCTTCTTGTATAATGAAATAACTGGGCCTGATGTTTGGATTCAAGATAAAAATTCTTTCGCGTTTTCATTGTTCTCAAATGGAAGAATTGATGGACAACAAAAGTATAAATTAATGGACAAATATAGTCAATATGCTTTTCGTTGTGGGAGTGATATAGATAAACGCCACAGACTCTTTTATATCAGTGGGGCAATTGGAATCATGAAAAGAGGGTTTGAGGGCGATTGTTGTTTTTACAACAAACTTGAAAACGTTGTTGACAATTCGTTTTGCAGTGGAAATACGTTTCACCCCAAGCGGTTTGTTGTGTTTCAATGTGTTGATTTGTAACTTGAGTCTTATTTTGTACTTTTATTATTTGCTGTCTATAATCTAAAACATCAATTCACACATTTCAAAACACAAAAAATCAAAATTTTCTCATTTTTATTTCACAATTTTATCATTTCCACTATTATATTTTATCGCGATGATGCGACGAAAATATTAAAAAATGAATTGAAACAGTAGTACTAAAAACTATTGTTTAATAATAAAAATATCAAACAAATAGTTTAGTTAAATACAAATATACTTGGGACGAACTCCAAAATATTATATTATGCATACAGGGCAAACTCTCCTTCACTTCAACTTTTCAACACTCAAAAAATGTGTAACATGCCAGGAACCAATCTATCAAATCATCACGATGGGATCCATAGTGGTTTCTTTGGTGGTCCATTTGTTATCCTTTTTGTCAGTGTTTATCAATTCGGGATTTTTCTCTCTCCGCTCCGAGACGTACGAAGAGACGTTCAACCGCATTGCGTGCGTCCAGTTAACACATCATCTCCAAGTTGTTTACATTCTATTTCTCTTTGAAACGGTGTGTTTTCATCAACGTGAAGCGATAAAAAACTTACAAATAGTTGTCAATGGGGTGTGCGCCGTCATTCTTTGGGATGTATGTCGTTGTGTTGATATTATGGATGGTGTGGATACCCCTCCACTTCACATCTTCAATCCCCTTTGACATCGTCCCAATCACTTTGCTCGCAATTTTCACAATCGCGTTTGTGGCACTCATCGTACTCGGTGTTGTCAGGCGGCGAAATGATCTCCCGATGTTTCCAACTCCAATCTTCATGGACAGTTTGTTTAGTGTTCAAAGTTGAATTGTTTGACAGTGAGGAAAGCCGTTTCTGATGAGGAGCTTTACTACAGTGGTGTTCATCCAATACGTCCTTGGGGAGGCTGTCCTCACCTTTTTGCCACCATCTAATATGGCACTTTTTATGTATCGAGTGCTCCATTTGGTATGTCCTTTGTTACTTGGGTCTTTTGTGTTCTTTATAATCAAACGGAAAACAACTCTTTTGTACATCACAACAGCTGTTTTGCTTCCACTAACGGCGTCGTATTATTCGCTATGGAATGCCTTTGGAGTTCAATATTACTTCTTTTGTTTGTTACTTCAGTGTCGTTTGTTAAATAACTTAATAACAAAACATGACAAATAGATGGGTTTTACATATTATTCTCTATTATATTGTGCCTGTTGGGATGGATGATATACCCATCAATACCATCAGACGTCATCACTGAAATACAGTTGGACTAAAATAGATTTGTGATGTTATTGATGTGTTCTTGTGGGTTGTCGAGTATAGAATATAATTATAATATAATTATAATATATTATATTTATAGTTTAATTGTATCTATTTTAATTAGTAATCATTTGAAGTCAATTATACCTGTCTTAGCCTATAAGTAGTGTTCAGCTACATACACTAATCTTCGGACTAAAGGCTCAACTGTTCGACGTAAGTTAACACTTTTGTCAAATCCAAAACGTGAAATGACTAAGTCGAGGTCTTCAATAATAATCACCAATTGCCCACCAATACCAGAGAAGTACTTTACTTCATGATTATCAATACTCATTCTCCATCCTTGAAGGCCATACCACTCATTCTTAATATTAGAACTATTGTGTACTAAAATTTGTGCTGTTCCATCTGCAACGAAGACCTTGCTTAAGTATTCAGTCGATATGATTTGGTTGTTGTTAAAACTCCCTTTGTCCAAAACCAATTTTCCAAGTCTTAAAAAGTCCTCAGAAGTCATATAGAAACAACAATACGCTTTAACGTTATCACTCTCGTCCATACACCATTCAGCATCTGCTGTGGATATGTATTTCCACAAATGTTCTTGAGCGAATTGAGACAACTTTAGATGTGTTGCCCTCTCTATGACTTGACTGATAGTCTGTGTATTCATGTTACTATATACCCAATACTTCCCACTCTCATATTGAGGCTTAAGTCCTTCAGCCCTTTGAGTCAAGTTACTTGCGAAGTAATCTCGACCAAATGTCAACAACCAATGTGGGTATGGAAGCCCTAATCCACTTTCCATTCGCAGAACATCTTTAAGAGTACTGTTTGCAAGTCCTGATGTTGGAAAGTACTTATCAACTTTATCGTCGATTGATGTGATGTATTGTTTGTCCAAAGCAATACCAAACAAAATGGAAACAATTGTTTTAGTAGCTGAAAATGGGTTGAAGGTGCTCTTAGCTGTCGTGTCATCAAAGTACTTTTCAATGACGATTTTGTCCTTTTTCATTACAAGAAATGCGTACGTGTTATATTCTTCTTTCAATATTTTGAGGTCTTCTTCATTCAGATCTTGTAATTCCCGTTTTAATGGTTTTTGGTGTTCACTGTGCATTGCGGTGGTCTTAAAATACTTGTTATCGTCATGTGAATATTTGTGCCTTAACACCATCTTGATATCATCTGCAGGTAATGCAAAGAACAAAGAGAGTGTGAGAATTACAAGCACTGACACAACAAGAAGGCACTTCATTCCACTACCTTTTACTATTAGTTATTAGTTCTTATTAAAAAAAGTATAGAAAAAAGTAACAAAATGAAAATGCTTATTCGATCTTTTTGTAAGTTCCCTGTGAAATTTCCTTTTCACGTCTTGCCTGAACATTTGGTTCGCCAACCATCGAATGATCTGTTGGAGTGAAGTTCAGTTGTTTGTCGAGGTCGCCCACCTTCAAATCGTCAGCAAAGTCATACAACTTCTTCCAGACATCATCCGCCTTTCTCATGTAGTCGGCATATATCTTCATGAAGACACCACAGATCTGTGCGAAGTTGCCATTAATGTCGTCAACCAACTTTCTGATGTCGACACTCATTTCGTCTCTTAAGTAAGTCCATGAGTCGAGGGAATTCTGATAGTTTGTTTTTAAGTCACTAAGTCCAAGTTGTTTTGACTCGGGCTTCTTTAACATGTCGTGATACTTCTCTTCGGCTTTGTCTAATGCCTTCTTTCTGTCATCAAGGATTTTGACTCTTTTTTGTAATGTGGTGATCGACTCCATGAAGTTTTTAAGTGGCTTGAATGCTTTACTCTCAAGCTTTTCTTGATATTCAGTGTACAGATTCGAAGCCTCTTCAATAATAGCAACTGACTGTTCAAAGGGATTGGGTGAGGTATTTACACAATCAGCACCGATCTTCATGCACTTCTTGTGGTCATCAAATTGAGTCTTGAATTGGTCACCTAACTTCTCGGCTGAACTTTGGAACTTCTTAATCTTCTTCTCAAGATCATCAAGCTCTTTCTTGTCGTGCTCTATTTGCTCGGACAATTCGTCTTTGTCTTTCTTGACTAAGTTGGTGAACTTCTTGAACATGGGGATTTGAAACTATACACAGTTGTGCGTTTTTATATATTAAAAAAGGCTTTTTTAGGCATTTCATTAAACGTATTCTGTTTGTTGATTCAGAGTTGACAATATACCACTACGGGGACACTCGTTGTTACAAATAATATATTAATAATTATTTTTCTTATTATCGATCTTTGTGGTAATCAAGAAATTGTTATATTATAATTACAATACTATTATATTCTAGTTTATTGGTTATATAATAGTAAAATTGCACAATCAAATACTTATTCGGTTTTCAGTGACTGTTTGGTTATTGTTGTAAGTAGCCTCAAGACAGGCTGTGGTATTTTATACTATAAAAAGAAACTCTGTCACTAATCACAGCGTGTTTACATTTAATTTTGAGATGCTCTATCTTTCCCAAATTTAATTTTAAAACAATAAAAAACAACAATTTATTAATTTGTTTTTGTTTATATTTTGAAAAAAAAATATTTGGAATATAATTGTTTATTCTGTTATTATTCAACTTAAACAACAACCATTTAAAAGATTGAGGTTTTTTTAAAACTTGAAAATAGCAATTTTTTAACTGTTTATTGTTATAAAACTTCTTGTTGTTTTTTATATAATTTATTTGTCTTCTTTTTGAGTAACTATCGGGCAGTTTATTAGCTATAAAACAGGACAAAATGACTTTTTTACAATAATAATAAATTATTTTAATATTAATATTAATTATATATTATATTATATTTTATAATTGATTAAAATAATAAATTATATTATATTTTATTAATATATAGAAACAATTTATTGGAAATACTAAATTATTTCAATTATAATAAAATAAGTTTAAAAAATAAATTAATAAAATAGTTAAAAAGAAAAAATATAGAATCAGGCCCGAAAGAACATAACCATTATTTTTGTCTTTTATTGGAATTCTCATCATCTTCTATTTATTCTCAGTTTTTAGTCTTATAATTATTGAATTTATTAACTATTAACAATTATTATGGGGTTTTATTACTTTTAATTTATATTTACTATTTAAATACTACACATCCTAAATTATAATAATTTTAATTTCAGTGATTAAAAAATATATTTAAATTAAGTAAAAACAAATATACAACACCTTGAAAATAGATTGAATAAACTATAATATCGTTAATAAAAATGATGTTTAAAAAAAAATAACTATAATTAAATAATTAAATACACATAATAATTAATATAGGACGAAAAATGACGAAAATGATTACCACTTTACAAAATTTAATTGAAATTTTTTAACTGTTTATTACCATCATACCACAATTGCCTTTTAAATATTTTTAGAAACAAACACTTTTCTTAAAAACAAAAATATAATGACTTTTTGATTTTTGGTATTATTGGGATTAAAATTTTAGTTTAAATGTATAATTTGACAATTTATATTTTATAAAAAATATAATTCAATATGTATTAAGTTTTTTTACCAGCTCTTTCAAATTTCTAATATATTTTATATACAATTATAATTTAGAAAGATCTGATTTTTTTCTTTTTTTCAATCAATAAATCGTTTTAATTATAATATTATAACAATTTTGCTAAAATTGAACTAATTGTTTCGAAATTTTTTTTTCATTTTTCCAAAACCGTAATACTACCAAAAACACGAACAACCACACTTAAAAATATTTTCTGTATTCTTAAAAAAAATGCACATGTTTCCACCTTTTCTTTCCATACCCACACTTTTGATATATATTAGCTAATTTTTTCAAAAAATTATAATAAAAACCAATAAACTAATAAAAATTATAACAAACTAATAGCACAACAACAGATTTGTCTCAACCAGATTTTATGATCCCGAAAGTGGTTTAAAAAACCAACACAACGTGGAAAGGCATTTCCAAAAAAGAAAATCCACAAAATGAGAAAATGAGATCGTCATCTAGAAAATCACCATCGACACACATGACCGACGAGTCGAAACGTTTATCCATATCCGAAGCATTTTCCGAGTTTTCAAGCGCTGCGTTTAGCGAAGTGACTATGGGGACTTCTTCGAACAAATACAACGTCGAGCGGAGCTTGACGAAGCAACTTCCGCCATGTCCTTTACAGCCACCCCCCGACCTTAAAAAGTACAAAGCGATACGTGAGAAGAAAGGGACGCGCGGCACCGACAAGTCTTCTTCGATCTTTTCCGGGTCAATAGTATCTGACTCGACTGCAATAACTTCCGCTTCTATTCACATCCAAGAGCGCATCGAGGCAATGTCCGTTGAGCTTTCTTTAGAGTTCAATCAAAAGGGTGGAGTTGATCATAAAGATGAGAAGTACTTAGTCTACACCAATCGTGAACTTAACGACTTAAAGACGATCGTCTGCTTAATGTTAAATCACTGCCCACAAAGTTTTAATCTTCTCTTCAATGGAAAAGGAGGATTGGACACGGCTCGTGGGATATTGGCGATGACCGCTAGTGCCCAAATAACAAACGAATTTCTTCACGAGATGATGAACTTGGAGTTTGAGGAATTTGCGGGGACTGATAAATTGATGCGACCAAATTGCCCAACAAATTTGTTGTGCCAATGCCTGTTTGAAGCAATCTTCATTGATCAATTGATTGAAAAGATGAAACCCTTCTTCGAGGAATTCGCAGAGAACAGAAACTCCTTTGAAATTGATGAGACGTACGTTGAAAATAAAGACCAGATCAACGGGAATATGGAAACATTTAAACAATGGATATCAAAAGCTGTTAAAATAGTCTCGGACTTCATTCCTACACTCCCACCTGCTGTATTCC